TTCAGGCGTATGATACAGCGACCCAGCAACTCTACACGCCCCACAGCGTCATCACCGTGTCCAGGCTCTGAATCCCACTGTGCTATTTCTCCCAACGTTGAAAGAAAAATCGCCTATCCAACCAAACCGACCCCATCTTAAAACATATTTAAATTATTTATTTTATTGTACTTTTTAGAAATACGTTTATCAGAACAGGCCTCAGTTAATAAAGTTATTAGCCAAATTAGAAAGATCATCTTCTTCGATGAGAAAGTAAAAGGCTCGCCCTATTTTACGTAATATAACTGAGCTCTTCTATTATAAAACTCAGAGAATCATGAATATGGAGCTTGAAACTATAACCTTCAGACCTTACCCCAAGGCACACTTACCAGACCCTTAGAAGCAATAAAAAGGCACCTTTCCTCTTAACTCCAGTAGCCATGGTTAATTGCAAAGCGATAAAAAGGCAGGCCGGTGGGGAATATAAAAATTCCATCTTTTTCCACAAAGAAACAATATGTTCACTGAGCATAATTTCCACTTTAATTCGAGGAAACAAAACATTTGTTCTGAAGTTAAAAAATTAATAACAAGATGCATAAAGCCTCTGCTAGGGAACGCATACGAATTGAATTAAGTTGTCAGCTTTATCAGTACTTAACCTCCAGACAGCCACAGAAAATAGGCCAAAGAGAAGGTATTTATTTCACATAAAATATATAAATGGAGTAAAAATTATTAGGGGCGGACCGTTAAATAGCAGAGGGTGGGGGGGGGAGCGCAGCTGCCCACCAGGGAGGCCTTTGCCTTGGCTCTTCCAACAGAACAACCATGTCCTCCCTGGCGGCAAAGGCCTGGCTCCAAGTCTGACATCAGGGATGCCGGGGACAGTTGTCAGTGGAGGGACACTTATGGGAAGTCTACCGGATGGGCTCAGGGACACTGCGAGACATCAGTCGTGCCACGTTCGGCGGGCACAAGCCTTGGCCTGTGCCCTCCACCCCCCACCGAGCCCGGGGACCACACGCTGGAGCCAGCCACACTGTAGGGTGACAGAGCCACCCCGAGGGGTGACTGCAGCAGTCTGGCCCATGGGGAGTCCATCCATCTGCTCGCGACTGGAGGAAAATGGCTCCTACCCGCCATGCCCTGGCTTTCTATTCTGTTTTGTACCATGAAGTCAATTCCTCACAATAAAATTCCCATATTTCCATCCTGAGGGAGATTCCTTCTGTAGGAACACCTGCCAGATTTACCCCGATGTGTGGGGCTTGGAGTTTCGGATTCAGGTTTCCCTTGTCCTTGATTCTTTTCTGATGGGGAGAGTCTGAACCGCGTGATACGAAAGTCCTGACACCTGAATGTGAGTTCCTAATGCCATCAATTGAACGCCTGTTTTATGCCAAACAGGTCGCACCGTGGGCAAATGGTGAGGCAGATGGTGCTGTTGTCCAGCTAGGTCCATGCTCTCGCTCTCCGAGGCTGCACACTAACGCCGCACCTGTCCAGCTGCACCGCTGGACGTGGAGCACTGCTAACGAGAGGCACAGAGGACACTGTGTGCGTGACTGAGGTCCAGGCAGCAGGTTGTCCTGACCACAAGTAGGGCTCAGTACCTGGTGGGCAGCACACCTCTCCCTGGCCTGTGATGTGCTTTGAGCACGTGACAGGCTCTGACGAGTAGTCGTGGGCAGACAGGTCATAAACTAAGGCTTGAATGCCTTTGTGTGGTTGGGTTTATTGTGATTCACGCACAGCCTTGTGGGAACATGCCCCCGGTGGCCGAAAAGTCCACGGAGGGTGAGGGAATGGGGCAGGCCTGCATCTGGTGTGACGCATGGAGGAGGGTCAAGCTGAGCCCAGACTGGACTGCAATCCTGGCCAACACAAGAAGTGTGAATGAGAGTAATCAAGCACTGTTCCAAGCTCTGAGCTTTAGGGTGACTTGCTCACAGCATATCAGTAAAAGATGGTTAAAATAACTTTTTAGAGTGAAGAAATACCAAAAATGGCTAAATATCTAATTAGTCAAAATGCTTTTCACAATTGTGGGCTATGTGGTATTGTGTGATTAGGGAGAAAACCACCATTGTTACAATTACCACCATCACCACCACCATCATCACCATCACCATCATCACCATCACCACCATCATCACCATCATTATCACCATCATCACCATCATCACCATCATCACCATCACCATCATCACCACCATCACCACCATCATCACCATCACCATCACCATCATCACCATCACCATCATCACCACCATCACCACCATCATCACCATCACCACCACCATCATCACCATCATTATCACCATCATCACCATAACCACCATCACCACCACCGTCACCATCATCATCACCATCACCACCATCATCACCATCACCATCACCATCACCACCATCACCACCATCACCATCACCACCATCACCATCACCACCATCACCACCATCACCATCACCATCGTCATCACCATCACTACCTTAGTGCCACATGCATTCTTCCTTTCTGGGGCAGCTTTGGTGACTGCATGAGGTCTCTGTCCCCTTGGCAGTTTATGATTATGGCAGTCAGTTCTGGACATTGATAAAAGCTGATGTCTTCCACCTTGATATCTTTTGGAAATTCCAGGTGTAACATTCACAGGGATGGTCTGTGAGCTGGTCAGGGCACTTCTGAAAAATCTCTAACTTGGAAGTTTTTGACAAGGACGTAGAAGACAATTTTTAAACATGAGCAGAGCTGGGGAGGGAGGCATCGATCACTAAAAGCAGCCACACTAGGTACATAAAGGAAAGAGATTTCTGTTCTAGATTTGAACTTCGTGCTCTGCAGTAAGAACCCGTGCTGCAGCCCACGGTCCTCCACTCACCACCTTCCGGGCCCTCCTCGGCTCTCCTGCGCGCCTGCCGTTATTGGAGCTCTTTCAGCTCCCGGAGCCCCTTATCCTCTCCCTGCTGCTCCACAGCCCCGTCCAGGCCCCACCCCACCCATGGGCATCTCCCGAGGGCTGTGTTCCTGTAGCTCCATTCCCAGCGTGGGTTTCCTGCACAACGGACTAGCTAAGGTTGAATTTTAACAAGATCACTCTTTTCTGAGCAAAGAGAAGAGTGTGCGAGAGGACAAACTTTCCAGAAGGGAGGAGAGAATTCTAAAGGAAATCGAAATGTAAGAGCCTCGCCTAGGAGGGGGCACTGGCCTGGAGAGAAAGGGACGGTGCACAGCCTTCAGGCTGCAGACTGTGGGGCTGAGTCAGTGGCCACAGCTCTGAGTAAGGACCTTCTTGTCTCTCCCGTCCTCGCCGTCGCATCTGGCAGCGAGAGGTGCGTCCGGCTGCTCTGAGTCAGTACGCGGTGAATGAGTGACCGCTTCCCATGACAGGGCCCAACACTGTACCCTTTGTGCTGGGCCCTTAGCACTGCACAAACCCGCTCACACAGTCTTCCCCCAGAGGCACAGGCCGCCACCCTCCCTGTGTCACGGAGCAGAAATGAAAGCACAGGAAGTCTGAGCAGCTTGTCCCTGTCACACACCCAGAGGGTCAGAGCCAGGACTCGGTCGCCCCAGGCCCCAGCCGTCGTCTGTGCCTCCTTGACGCAGACAGCTTGAAGAGTAAGCAATGACAAGGGGCTGTATTTTGCTAGAAAGAAAACAGTAAACGGAGTTTTGATAGCATATTTTATTTGAATCTAAGAAAACTGATTAAATTCAAAGTTCAGAAATGTAAAGTATTATCCAATAAATTGAGAGTCGTAACTGTCCTTGAACAATGATGACACACACTTAAGCTGGTTTTGTGGCTCCTAAGTTTCGGGTTTTACTTTTTTACTGCTTAAATAAGTAAGAAGCCTCAGAAAATAGCTTCATGCCGAGATCATTTTACATGACGCGTGTTGTGGAATTTGGGGCCACCGAGGTTATTCTTCCGACCAAAAGTTGGAGCTAAAATAGCATCACAATTTGGCCCGCACAGCCTCGGACCGTCCTCCCAACGGCTCTGTCGCGCCGGGGCGCTCGCTGGGGGCAGCTGGTGGTGCCTGCTGTCACGGTGTGGACCTTCGGCTCCTGACCCTGTTCTCACAAGCGGCACTCGCGGATTTCCCGAGGCCACCGGGAGAGAAGGGAGCCCGGGACCTGCAGGCGCTCGTCCTCAGCGGCCGAGACTAGCGTCCAGCCCCCAGCTTTTGCGATGAGCCTTCCCTATGGAAGATACTCCAACTTTGTTCGGGTGATCATCTGACCCTGCGGGAGGCCCCAGAGTGAAGCAGGGTAGGACGGGTCATGGTCCCGTGTAAGAGAGGCAGCGGGACAGATGAGCCCAGGGCGGCCGGGCAAGGACTAAATCCAGTCCTCTGACCGCGGGCCTGTTTACGCGGCGTCTGGACAGCGCGGGGGTGGGGGGTGTCATTCTCGAGTACTTTAGGGCGTGATTAACCCGAGCCCAAGGCAAAGCTCCAACAGAAGCTCGGAAAGGAAAAGCAGCTCATCAAGATGGGTGGGAAAAAGCCTTTCCTCCCAGGAAAGATGGCTTAGTGGTTGCAGGACTCGCGGGGGGAATAAGATCTCTGGACAGCAAGAGCAAACAAACACAGAATCCCAAGAAACAAACAAGCCCACTCCCGTGTTGGCCGCAGCATGGGGACAGCAGCGCATGGCACACTTCTAAGGAAGCTTCCTGCGGCACTGCGGGTCTCAAAGGCAGCGACCGCGGGGTCACTGGGAGGGATAGCCCCAGCGGGGAGAAAGGCACGGGGTTGGGACAGCGGTGCCTGAGGCCAAGACTTCTATCATGTCAACATGTGTAGGATGAAGAAATCAAGCTGAAAGCCATTCCAAACATATCTCCGCCAAATACAGATTTCCAAGGTCAAGAGAGGACACATACATTGTATGTGATAGTTTTCTGAAGCCAGCCCTTCCATTTCACAGATTAAAGCAGTCTGTTTAAATATCTCATTTCTACAAAGTGAATTTACAGTTAAAGTACAAAGTGCAAATACTATGTGTTTTTGTTTTGTTTTGTTTTTTAATTGCCTTTTGGTGAGGGAGTCTCCCACATGTCTAGGACGGCCTTGGCTGTGTGAGCCACTATCCTTGCTTCCTCGGCTGAAAGAAAGACAGAAACAGAGACATCGTTAGGTCCTTCCCATGCCGTGTCTGTGAAGAGCGAGGCTTGCCTTCTAGGGACGACATAAGCCGACCTGTTGTCAACAGAGCAAAAGCAATATTTTTTAAAAGATGCAAAAAGAAAGAGTGTTGGTTTGGTCATTTGGGGCATAAGAATTAATAAAAACACAAACATTAACAAACATTAACCTCTAACACTTCCTTCTCTGTCAGTGATCAGGAATATCAGGGAAAACACACCGGCTGAGAAAATTAGTATTTACTTTAAATATTTTAAATAGATTCAGTACATGAAATGTTCTGTGCAGTCTCCTGTCCCTTTGGATTTGTTATACAAAATAATCTTAATAGGGCACCTGGGTGGCTCAGTTGGTTAAGCAACCGCCTTTGGCTCAGGTCATCATCCCAGATCCCGGGTTCCAGTCCCGCATCGGGCTCCCTGCTTGGCAGGGAGCCTGCTTCTCCCTCTGACCCTCCTCCCTCTCACACTCTCTCTCTCATTCTCTCTCTCTCAAATGAATGAATTTTTTTTTTAAAAAGGAAACAAAATAATCATAATAATCTAGTTTATGCTTCAAGTTTGTAAAGGCGTCATTGATTTTTAATTTTTCTTTTTGTCCATTCCATCTATAAGTCTCTCTCTCAGAAGAAACGCACTTGAGAGTCTGCTGCTGAAAACGGGAACTCTGCGCCCTGACTGCCAATTAATAGTAATTCGGAATGAAAAGGAAAAGCGATCTACAGTCTTCCACATCTACTTTTCCAAGTGTACCAATACCTACTGATATAAATTGACCCTTGCTTCTGCTTCATTATTTAATATAATTAAACATTTAGGAGGCCTCTGGGCTGGCTCCGCTCCCCGGAGAAAGATACTAGGAGGAGGTTGGAAGAGAAAGGACGGAGTCTCCTGACTGAGCTGAAGGGAAGTTCTGCTCTGATTTGTCGTGGATAAAGATAAGCCGTCCTCTGTGCCTCACTTCTGGAAGAGCTGTGGGAGGGGCTGCCTGGGGGGCTCAGTGGGTTACATGTCTGCCTTCAGCTCAGGCCATGATCCCAGGGTCCTGCGATGGACTCCCGCATGGGGCCACCTGCCCGGGTGTGGGGGTGCATCTCCCTCTGCCTCTGCCCCTCCCTCCAGTTCATACTCTCTCTCACCTCTCTCTCTATGTCAAATAAATAAATAAAATCTTAAAAATTAAAAAAAAAAAGGAACCGTTGGAGGAGACGGGCTGACGTTTCGCCCACAGCCCACATCCGGGTCGGCGTGGGAGCACTGCCCTGGTCCCGTCTGAGTCCTGCCGGGAAGGCGAGATCTCAAGAAAGACAGCTTGCTCTCCGAGTCAGTACCAGCTCCAGGGTCCTCCTGGCTCCCCCTGGTTCAACGTTTCTCGTCTGGTTATTCATATAGTGAAATATTTCGGTGCTTGGTACTAGGTTTTCTTTTCAAAGAAACATCCACGTACGAAGGAGGGCCCGTGACGTGATGGGTGTCAGGCGATCAGGTGAGTCACTGAACACTACGTCAACACTCATGATGGACTAAATGGCCGCTGGCTGGGCATTAAAAAAAAAGGAAAGAAAGAAATACCCACGGCCTTCCATTGTTTTATCCCATGCAAGCCACGGCCGGCCTCCGTACGGGACTTAGTCCAGGGTGACAGTTCACAGTAACGGCTGGGAAGTCCGTCCGTCCACCCGGGCACCATAAGAAGAGCTGGAGAAGGTGCTCCCACCCCTTCTTCTGGGAGACAGCTGAAGAAGGAGCCTCGTGTCTCGAAAGAGTTTACTTTGGGCCGAGAGCCCGTGGCAGTTGTCACCACCGTGTAATGACGGGGACCTGTGGGCGCCTCAGCCAGGGTAGCGCTTTCCGACCCGCCCTGTTCTAACGCGTAAGTGATTTGCGGTAGGTTTTAAAAAGTTCAAACTGTAAACACTTGCTAAGCAAAGAAAACCCTATCATGTGACTTCCCTAATGAAATGGTTTTAAATTACACCCAAGGTGCGTGCGGGGGTCTCCGCGGAAAACCTACAACAGACACAGGGCTCGCCCTGGGACCTGCTGCCCCGACATCGAGCAGCGGGGAAAGACCAGATCAGTTACAGACTGGCAAGTGTGGCAAGTGGTCCCGAGGTGGGAGGATCTTGCCTTGGCTTTGAGGGAGGGAGAAACGCGTGCCCTCCTGTTTATCCTCCGGACAACATTCCCGACTCCGGAGGGCTGTGGCTTGGGAGCCCGATCAGCTACGGTAACTGCACAAATCTCCGGGAGTCAGAACCCAGAAACGGGTCTGTGAGCACACGGGGCGGGCGCGGGAAATGCCTTCTGGAGCAGAAGGTTTGTGTCATCAAGATGCCCGGGTGGAAAGGTTCCCCCGAATGCTCAGAGGGTCTCCTCACAATCTCCGTAACAAATTATAAGAAATAAATAGTAAATCCCTGGATAATTGTTTTTTAAAAAAAAATGTTTCCACAAAACAAAAGGACTTGAACTTTTTTCTAAAAACAACAAAATAACTGAAATTTCCAACAGCAAAAAAGAAAAAAAAAAAGACAAAATCTTCAAGTTGCTGATTTGGGTGGAATTTTGCGAGGCTCTTTCTGGCCACTCGCGGACGTGGGTCTGACACGCCCGCCGGACGGCTCTTTGCTGAGAAGCCGTTTGCCCTCCGCACCTGCGGGCTCCCGAGCCGGGCTTGCCACAGCGAAACCGGCAAACGCCCCGCGGAACGCGGCTGCGATACTCACCTGTCTGTTAGCGGCGCCTTCCGAGTTGGCTCTAGGGGCTGCGGGGAAACGGAGGAAGACACGGTTACAAACCAGGCAGCTTCAGCTGATGAAAGTTTCAACCAGTTTCTGAGGAAAGGACCAGAATCCCTTCAGGGAAACGTCGGCAGCTGCCAGCCTCACCGGCAGGAGAACGTACAGGTGTGGGGCAGCACGGTCGCCGGCGAGAGCCGCGGAAGGCGCCATGTCCACGCTTCGCCAACGACACCAATGCTCTCGTCCAACTGTAGAAGAATGTTCCATTTTTCCAAAACTTGCAAAGCACCTTCTACTCACCAGAGGCCAGTCTGACCGCGCTGAACTCCCCCTCGGGACAGGAGGCCCTGGGCAGGGGGCACGCGGGTTCTCTGACATCTCTGGGGCTTTTTTATTTAATTCATGAGAAACTAACATGTCTGGCTCAACATAATTTTGCCAAATCCTTGAGGGAAATGGAAGGGGGAGGGGGAGGCGTGAGATGCGTGGTGCTTGACCTGTGGCCTCAGCATGCGGCCTGTGGCGGAGGAGAAGGCGGGAGGCTCAGACCCACATCCTGTGGGCGCCCCCAGGATCCAGCTCCCCGGCACCTGCCTTCCTCCCTGGCTTCTAGGATGACCCTCCCCCCCCTACATTCCTTCCTTCATCCCCTCGGGCTCCTCCTGCCCTCCCTGCCCGCAGAGGGTGCCACCCCCAACACCGCAGGGCCGCGCGAAGCAAGACCACATCAGTAAAATTACAAAACTACCAGAGGGAAGAGGAAGTGTTTTGCAGCCACCTGCGTGAAATGGCGTTCAGGAATGGTCAGGAGTGTGTGCGTCACTGGTAACAATGGACACCGACTGTTCCCGCTGACCCCGCACCCCCGGACAGCAACCGTCCGTCCCCAGCATGCCCAGAAGGGACGCAGCTAGCATGACAATCCAGTTGAAAAAGATAATTTGGTCAAAAATGAGTATTTTTTAATTGTTGAGTTTCTGTGTAACGGTCATTTTGGAGACGCATGAGGGAATGATGTAATGTTCAATGATTTTTTTTTTAAATACTCCCTTTCTTGGTTTTATCATTTCTCAATATTTCAGTTAATTTTTTTCTTTTCTGCTGTTTTTTGTAATAGCAAACATTCAGATCCAGTTTTCCAATAATGTATCTTAGTTGCAATATTTTAAATGAAAAATCTTGTATCATCTTGTAAATTAAGTGTGATTAGGAAGTTCATGGGTGATGACCCCTTGTCTTGTAGTGAAACATTTTAACACAAGCATGGATGTGCGGCGGGGACAGAGACAGTTCAGAGGAAGACAGACTCGGGTCTGACTGTGTCTAAGAAAAAAGTCACATGGTATCTGTTTTTTATTTAGTTTCTGATTTTTTTAGAGTAAAACATGCATTGCTAAGTAGTGAGTAAAGATGAAGGAAACAAAGGCACTGGTAACAGTTTGCACATTGGGAGCGCCCAGACTAACCCTCTCCTGAATCTTGAGGTTTTTCTGGCTTTTCAAAAGCAATTTCAAAGTACACAGGGCAGGAGGAAGGAACGAATCAAAATGGAAAATGAAAATAACAGTAGGAAAACAGAGAAATTCCTCCAGGAAAATAAGAGTTGCAAAATCAACTTGTTATGAATTCAAATCACCAATGCTTAGTTTTGACCCAATTGCCACTTTCACCAAATTTTAGCTGGCTTTTTGGGGGGAGGAGGGGGTTCATCAGCCATCTCCTTGGTTCCTAATACGACTGTAAAACTCAGTATGTTTGTTGGCCTGAGGAGCGTAAGCCACGGATGTTTCTAGTGAAGAAGGACAGCATCGGGGAGACCCACTGAGCTCCATCACTCCCTACCGTCTTCCCCGTGCACAGGAGACACACTCTCTCCTCCCCCGTGCCTGCCCGGTGCACAGAGACCCCTGGGACCACTCCCAGGACATGGCCAGCATCAGACCAGCCCCACTGCCTAGAGCAGCTGCCTCCCCGCAAATGGGAGGCCCCCCACCCCCCACCCCCTGTGCAACTCCGCACTTCCCCAGCGAGGGGCTTCCCCATCAGGAAGGATGCGGCCCCAGTGCTCCCGGCCTACTGCCTGCTGGGACCCCTGAGCAGGGAGGCAGCATCGCCCTGGGGGATGGGCAGCGGCCTCCCACGTCGGCCAAGCCGCCCCGCAGCCCCACGCAGTGAACATATCCCAGCCTCTGCTCTACGGCTCAGCAGGGCCGCGCGGACGGAGCCGAGTACAACCATCACGGTCAGGAACTGGGCTTCACCCAGTCATCCAGGCGCCCCGCCGGGTACCCGAGGAAATCAGGTTGTCAGGAGGGAGCCTGGATGATTCCAGTGAATCCAGTCCCAGGGCCGGTTCAATCCAGGAGCTACAGCAATCATGCTTGTACTTCCTGATACTTCCCCAGCTGGGGCCTTGCTGACCCCGGGGGATGGCCCCTATCAGGGCAAACCAGTTCCTACACAGAGCAACACTCACTCTGGAGCAAAGCCATCCATCCAGAGCCCATGCACAACCCCCAGTGGGGCTCTCTCACTGGGCCACTAGCCCCTACTCTCCTCACCCCAGAGCAGGGACCAGACAACGAGCCCCCCGCCCTCCTCACCCTGGAGCAGGGACCAGACAGTGAGCCCCTCTTAGAGCAGTAGGGGTTCACCCACACCAGGCTGTTCTCCGGGACATCATACAACCAGGGTCTGGTGGACCACAGCTTTCTCCGACCAAGATGAGTGAAACGGCTGGATTCTTAGATGCCCGAGGGGCCCGAGGCAGGACAGTGTCCCCAGTGCTGGCCACGACACCCACCTGGTCTCCCTCCCAACATCCTGAGCTCAGACATTAGCTCCTCATTCTGAGCCCGGCACTGCCTCCCTGGTCCCAGGGCCACGCATGCAGGGATCGTCACCTCCCATGGTGTGTCTGGCTGCTTTCTGTAAACTGGGAGACCCGTGAGCTGTGCTCCATTCTCCACCCGCACCCCGCAGGGGGAACCCTGCTGGCCAACTTCCAGGATGCCATCGAGTGCAAGTGGTCTCCAAGATCCTGCACACAACTCTTCCAAATAAAGCCTGAATTGTCTAAGACGAACTTCTCCTAGAGACTTGGGCAAGGTACATTTCACAATCGCCCAGATCCAGCCGGGAACCATCGCGGTGGATGAAGCTGGGTGACCATCATGACAAAAACTAGGGACACAGGGACAAGTCAGAGAGAAGGGGACCTGCGACGTGGGCCAGGTTCCCGATGGTCTACGATTCCGTCTACGGACAATGACCTACAGGGAAGCGGCACCCCCAACCTAGGGGACAAGTGACACTGTCTAGGAAGCTGGTCGAGCAGGCGTCAGGACCTGACACTCTGCAAAGCGAAGAACAATGAGAAAGGCTCTTACTGGGGGTCTCTCTGGGTTTGCTTTACCTTCTGCTTTCGTCACCCCCAGACAGCCCATCAGCTCCTGCACGGAGATGGATTTGTCGTTGTTCACGTCGCAGTACTCAACAAACTTCTTCACACATTTTTTGGGTTTTGACTTTTTCCGAAGGAACCTCTTGAAGGGCTTAATCTCCTTCTTGCCGATGTCCCCGCTGGAGTTTTTGTCCAGTAGCTTGAAGTACCAGTGGACCACTCGCTCCTCCAGCGTGTGGCTGGGGTCGGGCTCGGAAAGCCTGGAAGAGCATGCAAGGTCGTCAGACACCTGCCCTTGACCGTCCGCCGGAGACACAGGGTGCGCTCCCACGCTCCCAGAAGGCGGCCCCGCGCGTCACTGCTACGGTGCTGACGCCTAACCCTGTGTGGGTTCTGCCGTCCATGGAGCAATTTTTAAAAATAATTTAAAGAAAGGAATTTAGCAAGAACATTTTAAATTGGTTTCAAAATTATAAATGGCACAATGAACTCCGTGTGTTTATTACACACTTGGTGTTGACCAAGTCTCTAAGGCCCGAAGCCTCCTTGCCCCGGGTTCCATGCTCCACGGAGTGGGGGGGTCAGCCGGCCTAGCCGCAGCCCCCAGCAAACCCTCAGACCCTGAGTTTCCTGACTCCTCGAAGTGCGAGTCACTGGCATTCTATTCAATCCCGCAGGGCGGCTGGAAGAAGCAAATAGAAATACATCTAGACATTTTCCCTTGGATTAAAAAAAAGTTTGGTATTTTAAGATATAAATAACTAAAAACTCTCCTAGAAGCTCTGCTTTGAGTCAAATCTTGGAAAATGTCCCAGATGTTAAAACGCGCCTCCTCACTCAGCGGACGATGGAGAAGAACGCGTGTGGACACCTGCAGGTCCTCTCTCCGCTGGCACCTGTGTCTAGGCTCGCCCCCCCGAGGAGCCCGTGTTCCCCCGGGTGTGAAAACCGCACAGGTATCAGGCATTCGAAGGCCACCAGCACCTCCAGCCTTCAGAGGAGCTTCCCAGACAGTGATTCGTTGACTGTCCTCAAGCCCAGCTCCTCAGACGAGAGCAAGCTTTCCAAGAGTGTGTCCGCTAGAGAGGTAGGCCTTTTTATTTCTTTATTTTATTTTTTTGCTTTGTTAAGCTTAATTTACTGCTTGGTTGTGACATTTTCTGTTAGCATGGCCTCTTCCCTCTTCTTGAGTCTCACTCTTAAGAAGAGAGGCAGAGAGAGCCTTGTGCTGAGGAGACCAGGACACTTTGGATCATCAGAAGAGCCAGGAGGGTCAAGGCTCTGCAGGCAGGAGTGGGGAGGAAGGCCAGCGCACTAAGGAAATAGGAAGAGGCTCCCTCGGAAAAAGCCTCTTAGAAGAAAGGGACAGACTCACTAATCCTCAGGGGGTCCAGTGCAGGGAGCTGCAGGACAGAAGACTTTGGGGACCCTACAGGAGCTTGACTCAAAACCCCAGGCCCACACCCACAGAACGTCTGCCGCGCTTCCAGAGAGAACTGGCCCAAGTTTCAGGAGTCACCCTCTGAGCCGCGTCTGTGTAAATAATGCCACTGATCGTGCACTTGAATCCCAGGATGGTAAGTCATACGTTATATGGGTTTTTCTACCATAAATACGTAGCATGTTGAAAACTTGAAATCAGACACTTCAATTCCAAGTATTAAAATCTACTCAGTAACTCAAAAATGCAGCTCCAAGGCTTGAAGCCAGCAGAGTGAGGGTCCCTGACTTCTGTTCCTGTCCCGCCTGCCACCGCCTGATGGGACCGCTGGGAACCCCAGGTTCCAGCTCTTCCCATGGTGACACAGCCCTTGGTGGTGTAACTGCATTCCAGGGAAAGCTGCTGGACCAACCACCTCCGGACCCACGGAGTGGGGAGACGTGTTGGGAAAGGACTCACTTCCCAGAGCCCTGCAGGGTCTGGAGAAGCTGAGCAGCCTCGGGTGCCTAACGGCCGCACCGGCTTCCGGCTTTCCGACACCTGGGGCTTCCTCGCGGCTCCCGCTCCGCTGCGGAGCGTGCCCTACCTGCCGGAGGAGGAGGGGTCGGAGACCGCGTGGACCATGTCGGTGGACAGCGCGTCCAAAATGCTCGTCAGGAATTCATTCTTTTTGGCACCAGGACAACCTAAAGAGAAAGTACAGACATATTTTTCCCCCATATTTCACAAAACCCACAGAGTAAAAGATCTTTCTCTGCAACAACAAAAAGAAACCAGGGAAGATTTGGGAACTGTGCGGGCGCACCCCATCGAGCGCAGGTGAAAGGTCATCGCGTGCGCTGCCACACGCGTGTTGATTTGGAGCGCAATTTTTTAAAAGATTTATGTATTTATTTGAGAGAGCGCGTGAGTGAGCGTAGGCATGCAAGGGGCAGCGGGGCAGAGCGAGGGGGACGCAGCCCTCAAGCAGACCCCCACCGAGAGCAGAGCCCGACCGACCGTGATCCCACCGCCCCGGGGATCATGACCTGAGCCCAGAACCAGGGGTGGGACGCTCGACCAGCAGAGCCCCCAGGCCCCCATTCTGGATCGTGATTATTGTAAATGACAGGCTCTAACACTCATTGCACCGCTGCGTGAGACGAAGACATTCGCGGGCATTCACCCCTGTCCCGGGGACGCCCCAGGGGTCCGCTGTGACCGCTCAGGGTCACAGCCAAGGTCCCCGTGCCTGGCAGCATCAAAGGCGCCCCGAGGTCACACTGCTGGAGGCCCCGGCTCAGAACACCTGTTTATGTCGGCTCATCCCCCAGCACCCCTCACCTGCCAGACCCCACATGCCGGCAGCCCCTCCTCCCCACACGGGCCCCACACGGGCACCAGCTGGGACGGTGCCCCCACCCACTTCGGGAGGAGGAGGAGGGAGGCCAGCAGCAGGGCTGTCTTCTCTGGATGTGGGAGGACAGGACCTGTGTGGGACGGTGGTGCTGTGGTCTGGGGGGCTGGTCACTCGGACACCAGCCAGCTCTGTGGTCACCTACACCCTGCTTTTGTCTGTGTCCTGCTGACACTCGAGTTTCTGGCGTGACTGTGCGAGCACTTGTCGGCGGCCGACGGCCGACGGCGGGAATCTGTTTAGGTCGGTCCCCCCTCATCAGGTACACAAGCCAGAGACAGCTGTGAGCGCTCCCGAGAGGGACAGCAGGGCGACAGCTGAAAAAGCGGCTGCTACTCCATGGGGAAATGCTCACCCTTGGGAGGATGCTACTTTTCAAGAAAAAACAATGGTCTACTTAGCTCTTCCCCTGGGAGGCTGCGGCGTGTCACACATGACCCGGACCCGGGCACCCCCTGCGCCACCAGCACTCCAGCTGGGAGAGGATGCCGGCCTCCTTGGAGGGTTGGGACAGCGAATCCGTGAACGGCAGGACTGGCGGCTTCTAGGAAGGAGAGGACAGGCAGACGGGCTCCCTGCCCAGGAGCGTGGGGTGGGGGTGCATGACAGACCGCCCCCTATCCCCGTCCCGGGTGCCCACAGGGCCTGGTCCCCAGGACCCCCACAGCCTGTTAGCCTGGAGACAGCCCATGGAGGGCTGGGCTGGGGGTGAGGAAGACCCTGGGGGTCTGGGAAACACCCGGTTGAATGACGCTCAGTGGGAGCAGCTCTAAGGGCCGGACCTTGGCGGGGACACACCCAGCTCTGCGCTTGCTGCTGATTTAACCACAGCCCCCGAACAGAGCAAAGCAGCACGCAGTCGCTAACCGGAAATGGCCCGACCGTCAGGAAACCGGACTCGGGGCGTGTGGAAACGTTAGAATCCTTCGATGCACAAAGGGGTTGACATACAAGCTGAATTGGCTTCTAAACCAAGAACTATTAGATCAGTCCCGCTAAAGAAACGGATCAGTTCCGTTCCACGAAACAGCCTGCCTTGCTGGGATCTCCCCGCGCAGGCGAGGTCGGTGTTCTGCCGCTCAGGGGAGCTGTGGTCCCGAAAAGACACTCCTCCTTCTTACATGGAAAGACACTGAACTTCCTCTTAAATAAAGAAAATAAACCACAACGGAGTTTGTGTCTGGAAGACAGAGCCGCCTCCCCCATGAGGCCCTCCTCGAGACGCATTCCCCGCCCCCGCCCCCCCGTGGCTCCGGTGCAGGGCTGTGGTGCACAGGGGTCCGCTCGTCGGGGTTCTGGCCACGCCACGTGCCGGCTGCACAGACACTTGCTGAGACCCCGGCCGAGGAGCTGGGCCCGCGGTAGCAGCCACAGGGGACGGAGCGCTTGTTCCGAGTCCTGGCCTGACCTGGGCGGACCACGGGGGTCTTGATCTACCTTGGACTCCAGGAGCCCCACGCCTACTGCTCAGAGGACTGTGGCAGGGATGCAGGGGTGTGGGGGCCGCGTCCGAATCAGGGAGGAAGGTGGGACTTGGGGAGCACAGTCCCACAGTCCCTGCAGGGCCAGGGTTTCCGGGAGCTGCAGCGTTGGCCTGCGGGGTGGGAGTGGGGGGAGGGGCCAGGCCTTAGCACCCCAGCCGCCCCGTCCTGCATGACAATGTGACAAAGTGCTGTTTGTCCCTGCCACAGGGGGACTGTAGCTCAAAGCTATTTCTGAGACAAAAAGGCAAATGAAAATGTAAAGCAAGAAGAAATCAGAAGGAAAAAGTTCAGAACCCTTTGAGGGAGTTTTTGCCACATGGAAGCGACAGAAATACAGGAAGGGAAACGTCACCGAGACAGGGGCGCAGCCGCAAAACCGAATGGAAGCTGCGACGGGCCTGGGGCAGAAGGGGGCCACCCCCAAGCCACGCGGCTTCTCCCTCATCCCCCGTCTCTGCGCCCCCCGCCACCTCTCGGGCTGCAGACAGGCCGTCTCGGGGGCCTGCAGACCTGCGTGTGCCCCGGAACCCTGGGGCCTCGTGGGGCCGCGCGCCGACAGGACAGATACCCCACAACAGTCAGGACCCTCAGCCACGACTCGTCTCCTCCTCTCCCTGCACAGCTGCCCCAGGGCGGCTCCATGGTCCCCCACAGCTTGTGTTGTTAAAACGCCGCACTGTTCATGCAGGTCTGCCGTCCACACACCGTGCTCTCCAGCCCAGCGCGGACTGGCCCTCGGAAGCCTTGGACCGGAGGCACCACGCATGGACGGCCCCCAAGAGCTTGGGGACGGCGAGTGTCCGGCTTCTGTCTCCGGCAGACGCTCACAGGGCCCGGAGACACATGTGCAGGGACAGAGGAAACCACGCTGCCCTTCCAAAGCTGCAGGCGAAATGACTACGTCAATTTAGTTACAAACCTGTGGCAAAACCAAACCAGGAGCTTAGCCTGAAGATGCTGTCGATCCCATTAATCTGCAGAATCCAAGGAACACCCTTGGTGACCGATTTGACGTCTGGGAAAGCACTTGAGTCCTAATCCTGGTTTGGAGCTGTAGTGCGGACATTTGAGTGTCCACGGTCACTGACCTTGGTCTCCACCGTGGCCGCACACCCAGGCTGCGGATGGGCTTGAGCAACCCACCCTGCACACCGCGGGCTCTCGGAGCCTGGTGGAGACTGTGTCCTCTACAATCATCCGACCAGCAGTCTTTCAAGATAAACGTGTTCCTCACTTTCTATGAAACGTCCTTATTTTTAAAAACAGAAGTTTTTTGTCTAGAATTACGGTTTCTTTTTTCCTTCAAACAGACATCAGTGTGCCTTCGGGACTTCTCCCACGATCACATATAAAACCGCTCTCTGAGTCAAAGCCAGAGTCTCCTTCCTTCTTGTCACCTGACACTCTGGGACGGCCGCCGAGGGGCCAGTGACGGCCGTGTCCTCAGACTTCCATCAGGGGAAAGCAGTACGTGGAGATAACCATATTTTTGGACCCATGTCAGCCAACACTGACCCACGGGTTTGTCACTGCCCAAGAGGTGACCACATGGGCTCCCGGGCCACAGAAATGGAAAGGGGGCCAGGCCGACAGACTGGGTCCTGTGTTTCAGGGCAAATGGCCTTGTGGGGTGGTGGGTGTGGGGGCAGGACCCCAGCCGGTCTGCCTTCAAGCATCTGTAAAGCTTCGGCTGCTTGGCTGTAGGTCTGCGTGGTGCGTGCTGGGGAGCAGATGCAGGTGACGCTTATAAAAGCGAGAAATAAAGCTGCTTTGATTCTCGCTGTTGAAAACACAGAATCCGACATAGAGAAGCAGGAACTGTCTAGAGCGGCGGAGCAGCAGTGCAGCTGACGTAAGACCACCCGAGACACAGAGAAGACCTAAGAGCAGAGATGCCTGACATCCCGGCACGGCGCCAACGACAAACCCTGCCTGTCCCCACGCACAGCCAGCCCCCAGGTCTCTGCAGGAGCCAGTGGCCCAGAGCGCAGTAGGACGGAAGCAGATCCCCTAAGACTTGCGGGTGCTGGGAGTCCTGGGAAGAAGCTGTGGGATCTGTAGGAGAGATCTTAAGATCTCTGACCCTGCGGCCCAGGGATGGGCTTCCCAAGACGGACCCCGGCATGGGGCCAGGGAGGCCTCCGGGGACGAGCTCGAGGGGAATCAGGGAGGACACAGCCCTCTGGGGGGGTCCCAGCCCCAATGCAGCAAGTACACAGAGAACGTCCTCGGCAAGCACGGGCGTGGGTTCACCCTTGAAGCCCACCCGGGGTGAGGGGGGACTCAGGCCCCCGCCCTGCGGCCACAGAAGGAAGTGATGGTCCAAGCTCAGGTCTGAGCGTACCCATGAGGGGATGAGATGAGGGTGTCAGAGGGTGGGGTCCCCGCCCCCAAGGAACCCCGCCCCCAAGGAGCCACTAGCTCCTGCAGAGCCTTTTGCGAGGCCCACGCCAACTCGGTGTCTAGAGCCCACACTGGAGATTACCAGGAGGGCCCGCTGGCACGTACAAGCCTTCAGGAAAAAGCAGGGAACTTTCCAATCTTAAGATAAAAACAAAATCTCGATTCTTGTGTACTAACTCCTGTTTTCCCATCTTTTCTATGTTTACACATTTTATATATTTATTTTCATATTTCCTTACTTTCAACATCTTTTCACTATTCTAAACAGAGAGGTCCACAGGCTTGCGACTGGGCGCCGACGGGTGACCGATAACACACGTCAGGAGTCAGCGTTGGGCAGGAAGCGAGGGCCTGGGGGCTCCGGAATTACTCCCGCAAAGACGCGGACGGAACCAGCGCCCAC